CCCCCCCTTTCTGAGCATCCCCGGGGGGCAGGGTGGGTGCCAGCACCCCGGTGCCACCCCCAGCCTGTCCCCTGCCCTCCTGCAGCCACCGCCCCGTGGGGACAGCAGCGACGCCTGCTACTTCTGCGGCCACCGCGTCTACATCCTGGAGCGATCCAGCGCCCAGGGACGCTTCTTCCACCGCGGCTGCTTCCAGTGCTGGCAGTGCGGGACCACCCTGCGCCTGGGGGACTACACCTTCCAGCAGGAGGACGGTGAGAGGAGGGCTCTGGGGAGAGAGAGGGGTTGGGGAAAGGCTGGAGGCAGCGTCAGGTGCGTCAGACAGAAGGGGGTTTTGGGTTCTCAGATGGGGTTTTGGGTTCTCAGATGGGGTTTTGGGTTCTCAGACAGGGGGGTTTTGGGTTCTCTCCAGGTCGTTTTTACTGCTCACTGCACGGCCCCAATCAGCCCAGCATGGACCAGCTGCCTGGTGGGGGGGGTTGCTGTGGGTCTGGGTGATAAGGCAGAAGGTAGAGGGGGAAAAGGGAGGGGGTGTGCTTGGGTACAGCCCCACGCTGCATCCCCCCCACCCTCTGCCACTGGCTCTGCCGTAGGATCCCACTGCTGCCCACCCAGCTTCAGCCACCCCGAGCCTGTCTGTGTCCCCCAGAGAGGGAGCCCCCAGCCCCCCGAAGTCCCCACCACCAGCCCCACAGCTGGAGGCAGAGCCAGAGGATGCTGCAGATGCTGGAGACGTGGAGGAGCAGGAGCTGCTGGCACAGCCCAGGGAGGGTGCAAGGGAGGAAGAGGAGGGTCTGAAAGCAGAGCCCCAGGAAGTGGTGGAGGAGGGTGAGGAGGGTGGGGGCAGGAGGAAGATCGTCCTCACGCCCCTGGAGAAGCTCAAGCTGTCCACGCTGAACCTCACTGGTGAAGCAGAGCTTGAGCCACCACCAAAGCCAGCACGTCTGAGGCTCCCAGCAGCACCAGAGGCCCTCCCTACCCCATGGCAGAGACAAGGCTCCTGGGAGGAGGAGGAGGGGGAGGAGATGGTGGAGGAAGGTAGGTGGCTGCAAGCCAGAGCTCCCTCTGGTACCCTGCAGAGCCCCAGGTCTTGCTTGTGAGGCAATGGCTCAAAATGGCTCTTTTCTTGAGGCAGCTTTGGAGGAGAGTGACAGTGAGGAAGAGGAGGAAGGCACAGACCTTGGCATCATGGCAGAGTTGGTGGGTGGTTTCCCTGAGGAGCAGCAGCCCTCACTAGCCTGGGGGGTCGCTGGGGCTCCTGTCACCAGAGCACTGGGTCCTGCTGTGCTGGGGGCAGGAGGTTCCCAGCAGAGGGACTGACCTCCTGCCTGTGCCACGGTCCCTTTGCAGTGCCTGGACCCAGGAGAAGAGGAGAAATATCCCACCTGGAAGCGCACACTGACCCGCCGGGCCAGGGAAGCCCAGATGAAGAGGTTCTGCAAAGCCCAGGTAACCCCGTGGGGCAGAGCCAGGTCCCTGTCCCCTCCATCCCTCTGCTGGTGGCCCCGTGCAGGGAGGTGCCAGCCTGTGGGCAAGCACTGCCCTTCCCTTGCAGTCCATCCAGAGGAGGCTGGAGGAGATCGACGTGACCTACCGGGACCTGGAGCAGCAGGGAATCAAGTTGGAGAAGTTACTCCGGGATGAGGGTGGTAAGACCAGGGTGGAGAGGACACTGTGACCCACCCTCCCCACACAGCTAGGGGGTCTGTGCCCCTGTGGCTCATGCCAACCCCCCCAAACAGACACCCCGGCTGACAAGAAGACACAGTGGATGAACCAGCTGCTCTACCTGGTCCAGAAGAAGAACTACTTGGTGTCTGAGGAGTCAGACCTCATGATCGCGTAAGAGGGGCTGCTCCCTGGCTGGGTTTGGGGGCTTGGCTGCCCCCCAGGCCCTCCCCTCGAGCCCAGCCCCCCACTTCCCTCCCCACAGGGTGCAGGAACTGAAGCTGGAGGAGCAGCAGTGGCAGCTCGACCACAAGCTCCGGTGCTACATGAACAAGGAGGGTGAGTGCCAGCACATGGGGGTTCCCTGTGCATGGTGAGGGGAGCAGAGCCAGGGGCTGTGCCCCCCACCCCAGCCCTGCTCCAGCCCCCTGTCCCCACAGAATCCCTGAAGACACCCGAGGACCGTGCAGCCGAGCAGGAGATCCTGGGGCAGCTGCTGGAGGTGGTGAACAAGCGCAACGTCCTCATCCACATCCAGGAAGAGAAGAGGCTCAGTGAGCTCCAGGCCTGATCCGTGGCAGCCCCAGCACCTGCTGATTCCTCCCTGGGGTGGGGGGGACAAACAGCACCCCCACCCACCCAGCTGAGCATCACCCTGAGCTGCTCCTGACGGTG